TAGGGGACGCGTTAAACGTATCTCTGGCGAATCCGCTGCTCGCTCAGCCGAGAAACGCCAACGCGACTCAACGATCCCGCGAAGAATGGCGGCGGGTTCGGCGTGCGCGTCTTAAACCTATTTCCCGAGACTCTTCGCGAGTTCCTCGCCATTCCGACGCGGAACTTCGTCCCGAGATAGCCGGCTATCTTGAGAACGAATAATTAGACTTCGGTTTGTCGTAATATCAGGGAATTGTGCAACGCGCGAGTGGCAATCTTGGATTCGCCCTAAAATAGCTGACTTTGTCTTGAGTAATTAACGATTTTTCGGCTCGCCGTTATATTCAGGAGGATATTAGTATCAGTGTATCCTGAAATAGCTGACTTCCTCTCGTGTCCAATTAACGATTCTTTGATATGATAGAAATGGGAAGTGAGAGAGTGCCAATCTCTCTTAGTCTAGAATAGCTGACTTTATTTTCCGAATGACTTTTCTGTCTGCTATGGAGGAATTGGAAAATAAGTACTAATCTCTTTTTCTACTGTCTTTGATTTTCAATTAACGAGGTCTACTTTTATCAACTGTGATGCGTGATTACACTTCTTCACTGTCGCTGGTTCCTTCCTTAATTTTCGAATGATTCCGGAGACGCTTCTCGCCTCGAATTGGTAGCAGACGACTCACTTCGGCTCGTCCATTGACGAATAGCATTCGCGGGCCGAATTCAACGATCGGGAACTAAAACAGCGGGGCTAACGCGGCACAATCGAACGTCGCGTTCCGAATAGTTTCTGTCAGGAACGAGTAAACTTCGAGGTCTGCCCGGAGCTGCGAAAAGGTTACATTCACTCGACAAGCGGCGAGTATGCCGGATTGTGTGCTAAATCAAACTGCGCGTCGAATCGGAGCACTTGCAGCGCGTGTCGACGTCGGTCCGCCATTGTTACACATCCTGCTCGGTCCTTGTTCGCATTCCGTTTTAGCATGCTACTTGATCGATCATGCATCAGACCGTCTTTGTCTTTTGCATTATTCATGGTTACGCGCGCACTCGAGCGCGGCATCGTAATCGCCCTAATCGAACTCTTCGTTAGACTCTCCTTTCTCCTTTTTAAACAAATACTCCTCTCAAACCATTCACCGTTATTTCCGAAAACTTTCGTGTGGACGGAATATCGACGAAAGATCAACTATTTTGAAACTCGAAATTCGACCCGCGACATATGAAATTAAACCTCGGAGTGCACACTTTAACGTGCAAACAGTTCCGAAGAAATAGAACGAAGTTGACGCATTGAAAATCGCGATCGAAAGGGGGTACCCAGTACGGAAATCTTCGGAAATCGATACTTCAATTATCAAACTTGGAACTCGTACAACTTTCAACGAGTGAAATTACCGCTGGAAGTGTCTACTTTAATTAACCGACCCAGTGTGCAGCTAGTTTATATACGTTCGATCGACTCGAGCAGCGGTAGGAAAAAAATACGGAACGGTCTTGGAACGTTCCCACGACGAATCTGAGAGCGGCCGTGATAAAGCGCGTCGCAGGAGCGCGTAACGCGTGGGCAGCCCATTGAAAACCCGCTTACGAATAGCGAGCGAGCAACAGGGCCAATCCCTGCTAGATTACTTTTCAAGTATCTCAATAGAACTAGTTTAGTCGACTGCTTATGGCTTGTTGCCGCGGTGAATGCGAGGCTGCGCGACAAAACGACACCCCGGCACAAAGCCGCAGGCCGGCATAAAAGAGCGTTCGGGCTCATTCATAACTGTTGCGCCGCGTTAACATTCATTAACTTCGTTAAGTAGATACACGTACGCCCCGGCGGGTGTGTACGCCTGCACACGCGCGCACGTGTGTATAACACGTACCTACCGAACCTTTCGTTTCGGCCGCTTCCGGTTGCTCGAGCGTGCTTTCCTTTCTGCTCACCGTTTCGGTGTTTTTGTTTCAGTGTAGTTGCGGCTTCCGGCGCACAACAGCCACCAAAAGCGAAGATCGTCGCGGTGCAAGTCGGTTCATCGTGAGACAGGTGAGTCGAAAACGCGTCGCTTTCGCCGAATACGAAAGCGAGTTTCGAAGTTTCTTTGTTCTTGGCAATCCCTGTGTAAGCCGTCAAGCCACCGAACTCGCAGTTCGCCGAATCTCCGGCATTGTGATTATAATTTGGCAATATCTCTCTGCGAATTTTTCGGAAATGCGAGGCGAGAGTGTCCGGAGAATCGGGATTCGAAGGAACTTCGTCGAATTCTCGCGAGACAGCGACTAGCTGTGCGAGTAGAAGGAATAGCGACGATGTGTATTATATTACCCGGTTGCTAACGTAAAGTAAACTTATCTGGGTCGTCAACTACATTGTGCATCGCCAGTGATTGCGAGTTAGCTCGGAAATAGAAGCACAGGATCACAAATTACAGCCTGATGATCGATCGGTCGATCGGCTATTCTTACGGTAACGACCGCGTTGCTTTCGGTAACCTTGTACCACATGGCAGTAGCATGCTCAGTCGTATTAAAAATGAATCGGTTAATCGGGATTCCAGCGCATGTTCATCGATCGATGATAATCGTTCACCTAGTTAACTGTATCCCCACACTATGTATAACTTATCCACGACCTACCGAGTGGCTGAAGAACAATTTCAATTAGTCCTGTAAAAACCATAATCTCCACTGTGCGCAAATTATGATTCCTGTATTAACCCTTTGCACTCGAGAGGTGACTCTTAGTCACATGATTCGATACAAAAACTAAGTTGAATATTTAATATTTCAAACTAAAGTTTGCATTGCTACGTGAAATATTTGAATAAAACACCTCTGTAGCTTAATCTATCTATCAATTATCGTTAAATTGGTTTCAAACAATATGACCTATATCTCGTCAGAAAATGTTGAATATTTCTACTGAAAAACTTTCAAGTGCAAAGGGTTAATATACTCAAGCATTGAATCATTAACACTAGGTTTACGGAACGCGTCAAATTGCATATTGGATTTTAGAAATATTATTTTGATCACACTGACACGTACCCCAATTACCTACTATCGAATCTCCAGCTTCCACAATCTAAATAAACGAGCATCAATTCTTTTACGAATAATAGAATCAAGTGTACAATAAATGCCCGTAAACCTGGTGTTAAATACTCAATACCTCGTTTGTTCCTCGCTCGGAATATCTGTTCTCGAATTTTGTCTCGGCACAAAAGGCTGCTCATCGCCAGGCCGTAAAAAAGAACGACAACGTTGGAGCGGAATCGGTCTATTATGATATTCGGGACGATGGCCGTGACAGATCGCGGGCTTCATTTTCCCAGCTATCGCGTTTCGGGAGCGGTTCACAGGCGATAAGTCGGTCGGTTATCGTCCGGCCCCAGGTTTGCGAAAAAATTCCGGTCGCCGGTGGAACGAGGCGCCGCGCGGCGAGCACGGGCATGGCGTCGCGTTATCACGGGAATCACGATACAGTTTCGCGAGGCGGGCGTCGCGATCAAGAGATACGTGCCGCCATAAAGCTTGCGTTATCTTAACGTTATTGCATATGACGGACGTGTTCCGTGGTCCTGGCGCGGCGCCGCTGCGCCGCAACTGCGACAGATGCAAGCTTCCTGCGGATATTGTCCGTTCGAGTGCAAGCCAAACTACGGGACATTAATAGAATATTGATAAACAAAGGCGAGATCCGGACCGTTACCTCGAAATTGCGGTGCACCGAGTGTCTGGGCTCCAATTTGCTACCGGTTTCTCATTTGAATACCGCCCTCTCAATATTCTAAGGGAAACCGAGCGATCGTTTTTCTTAAACCTTTCTTATCCTCCGCTCCAATACCGCGATTCGCCGTCTATTGAAATTCGCCTGATTCTTGATCAACTTCACCGGGACGTTCGCTTCTGCGTGAATGCCTCGTACAGGATCATTCCGGACGAAATCGTTCTGTATCGTTTCACTTGTACATCTATATTTTCAATTGTTTCTAATGGTACTCAATCTTGCCAGAGATATTCATAAATATTCATTTTACACGTCGATTTCCTTTTGTTAGGAACGAAGTCCGGTAAACGGAGATTGTAACTCGATTTTTATATAGATTATCGATGGTAAATCAATCTATTATACATTTCTAATTAGAGAATGCACCTGAGAAGAAAGAGTCACCTTGTTCTCGTAAAAAACTGATCGGCAGGAGGAGATACTTATAATTCATGGTAATTGGGCGCTGAAGAACCCTAAAACACAGAATTCTCCTCGAAGAAACGGATCGTCGGACGATACAAAGGGCGGTTTCCGCGAGTACCGGCGATAAAGATCGCTGTTCTCCCATTCACCCTGAATAAACCCCCCGAATCGATCGCGGAGAGTGAATCCTGAAAGATCCATTAACGCGGGGGGCTGAAACGGAGAACGGCGCGGTGGGGGCGGGCGCGGCGCATCGTCGATTCGAAGCGTCCGCGTTATTCTTCGTAACTAGATTTTTCACGGAGGCGTATTATTAGAAGCAACGTCGCCCGACAGCCGGCCGAACGGAATATCAACGAGCGGGGAGCGATGCAAATCGCGGCGCGCGCGGAGATTGGATTATCGCGAACGATCGGTCAAACGGCGAATGGAAATTTTAATTATCGAAACTGCCGTGTCCCCGGCCGCTGGAATCGCTCCGAGCGCGGCAGGATTTTTTAAACCAGCGATAATTATCGCGGTAACGACGTTATCCGTTTCGAATGGCCGCTAATAAGCCCTTCGATGCCGCGCACCTAGACGAGTAGCTAATTAATACGTTGACTGCTACTTCGGTCATCTGCAACCGGCGTTCGCGAGTTGCTTAGGAACCTGATATCTCTGGATTAGGTTTATTACTTAAGTTACTATTACTATTACTATTATAGTAACTAGATTGTGTGATAATAATATGAGAATAATGCCATTGATTCTTACTACTCATCTTTGCTACGAAAATCTAAAGTGCTCTAGAGCTACCGAACATCCGACTTTTCCAAATTCCAAAAGTGCAGATCACAATTGTCTCATATGATTCGGTTTAGGTATCACTGAATCGATTTCTGTAGTAATCTCGCAGGGAAGCGTCTATTTTTTAATAACTGCGAAAGGAGAATTCAGGAATAGGCCAATTTCACCCATCGGATAGTTCTGCTGTTAAGATTCTCGTAGCAATCGAGCTGGTAACGGTCAGGATCGGCAGCTAGTAGATTCAGACAGCGAGCAGATGGCCGCACTCGATCCCGGTCCGACGGTAATCTCGTCGATTTCGCAAGATACCGGGCCACTCGCGCAGACTGCCGGCCAGAAGGACTCTATTGGATCAGCAGGCCGCTCTTTGTCTCGGCACGCTTTCAACCGTGTCCCGGGGACAAAGTACCAACTGCTACTGTTTTTAAATAGTTTAGCGGGGAATTCGGCGACCGCCGCTGGCTATCCGCTCCGCTCTTGTCCGGGACAGATTGCTGATCTTCGGACCGCCGACCGGACGGGGCGGCTCGACGCGTATTTCGATTGCAATCGGTACGCTAAAGAGTTCACGGGAGATCCTACTTTGATTTCGATACTACGTCGATCTTGATCTACTAAATAAAACCATTTATTAACCCTTAGCACTCTAGATACTTTTGTAATCAGCAACTGCAACTAATTTTTATAGTATCTCTAGCGAAAATGAAAAATGCTACATTTCTCAGATCTTTCATTTTCCTTAGTACAAAATTTGGATGCGTGGAAAATCTAATAATTACGGTAGTTTCTTTCATTCATTGAAATATCTAATATTCCTGGTGCACTATTAGAGCCTATAGAGTTCAAAGGGTTGAAACTTCCACCCACGAAACATAAATCTCATCCAAACGCACCGAAGTCTCTGTATTCTATTTTAAGTAATCTTTCTTCCGAAAGTTAGTTTTTCGGTTGCCGGTGTCCTTTTTCTTTCCCATTGCGCATTATATCATTCATAACTATACGAGCCCGTGACACCAGAAACTCCAGCCGGATTCCAAAGCAACGAATGCTCTAGTCCATTCTTTTCCGGGAAGAAAAGAAACCGGTTCCGAACGATCCCAGCGGCGTCACGGATGCGCGATCCTCGGTTGCGCAACGAAGCGCGGTTTTGCGGTCGGTCCCGAATCCGACGCGGCGCTTAGGCGAGTCCGTTGGTCGTGCGGCGAGGAATCGTCGACGGGGGCCCGTGGAAAGGGGGTTGGGTCTCGCGTATCGAGGTCTTTCCGGCGACCGAGGTCCGTCGCTGCCGTTCTCGGGGCTGCCTGCGTTGCCGGGGGTGCGGCGGAGGACGGGGAATCCCGGGCCGGGAGCTGAAGCTCGCGCGGCATTCGGCGTCAGCGTCTTGAATGGTGACAAACGGCATGTACCGCGAACACACAGCCGCGCGTCGCGGCTGCGACTCGAGGCATGAAGGGGCCCTGCAGCGCGTGAGCAATGCGGATGCACCGCGGAGCCAACGGCGAACATACAGTTGACAGAAGCGCTTACGGAGGCGAGAGATCGTGCCTCTGTTTCTCATCGCGTGTCTGCTTTTCTCTCTTCCTCCAGCTCTCCTTCGTATCCTCTCCCTCCCTGTGTTCCTCTGTACTCTCTACGCTGCTCCCTTTCTGCTTCTCTCTCTTTCTCTCTTTCTGTGTTTCCCTCTCTCTGTGCTCTATGCATTCCTCCGCTCTGTTTCTCCACGTTTCACTCTCTTCGTTCCAGCTCTTTTCTACGCTTCTCTATATCTCTCTTAGTTTATGTTTTCCTCCGTTTTTCACGATTCTGTATTTTACTCTACATTCCCCTCTTTCCTCTTCCACGTTTACCTGTACACTGCCTCTGTTCGCTAGCGCGACGAGGTTAGTCGTTGATTCTCGACTTCGCGAGATATGCTCGGACCCTACTTTTTACAGTGATAGGGTAATAAGATTGTTGAACTGGTTTGTTTAGTTTCACAAAAGAATATAATTTCACACTTAAAAGTACAATGTTGAAGTAATACAGTGATTCTAACAGTTTCATGAAAACAGCTTGATTTTGGC